CTAATACTGGCCTCTATCCAATAAAGGCCTGGACCGCGATGTACTTGAGTGAAATAAAGGCCCGGGCCTATATTAGAGAATTTACGGTAATTGAGAAAAACAGGTTTTTAGTTTGAAAAGGTGGTTTATTTTGTCGATATATGGAGACCAATCACTGGTCCCCGTAGGTAAAAAAAAAAAAAAATTTTAAATCCTCTCTGATGTCTTAGGATAAGATTTAGGACTAAAGTCTGAATGGAAATTAGATTTGTGTTATGATTAGGTATAAACCCATAATTAAAGATGTCCAGATGCAACTTTTTCATTTCCGATATGATACCGGTATTGCAGCTTGACCAATAAGGATATTGATTCGATACGATATTAGCACGAATCATACCAGCTTTTATTACTTGTTTTATAATGAAGAATGTTAGAAAAGACTTGATGAAGTAATATTACAAAAATAAGGAACAAAGGTAATTAACCAAAATGTATCAAAATAACTGACCCATCTAAATTTAAGCAATGAGTAACAGAAACTTTAACAGAAGCAGAGTGTTTCCATCAAAATATTGGGGATTTTAAATGTCAGATGTTTTTTTTTTTTTGGGTAATAGCGGATCAATACCTGATATTAATACTAGATTGGGACATCCCTACCTGTAATGTTTAGGTTTAGTTTAAGGGTTATGGTTAGTAGAGATGGACCGATTCAGTTTGTTCTGATTTAATCCGATCTGATTTCAACTCATGAATGAACAGTATATCTTTCCATGTGATAGAAGGCCTGACATTAACACTGTAACAAAAAGATATAGTAGGACAGATATAAAAGTATTTTATATCATTCATTGACAAATAAGGAGCATAAAGAAATGAATAATGGTTCCATGTAAAGAGCACTGGGTAAAATCTCCGATATCAAATTACAGATATCACTAATTGGTCAATATTGGGGCCAAAATCTGATCGAGGTGTCGGATCAGTGATCGGTGCATCTCTGTTATGCTGTAGAAATAGGTTAGAAATGAATGGAAGTCAATGGAAAGTCACCACAAGGATACAGAAACATGGTTGTGTGTATGTAATTATATATTTACATTTTGCCATTTGCAATTTATTCAAAATGCAATAAAGTTTTTTTTTTTTTTTTATGTACTCTAAATGCTTGATTTTTTTATGTTCAATGTAAAAGAATTAACCTTATTCAACTGCAAAAAAGCTGCAGAATTAACTTGGTTGAGGAAGTAAATGGGAAATGCCTTATCGAAACTTATCGCAAAAAAATAATTACAATTTTCTCTTTAAATGTATGTTTTTCCTTCAGCTTTACTGACTGTTTTTGTTGTTCTGTCTCAGATGTCCAAAACGTTTAGGGCTTTAATGGTTCACAATTAGAAAAATCTGTCTAGGGGTATGAATAATTTTGTAAGGTACTGTTTGCTGTAAAAATGTTGTAGTGTTGATGTTACTTTAATGACGTCGTCAATGTCGATCTTTCCGTCTTTGTTGTCATCCAGGGATTCTGCAATCCTCTGCAGCTTGTCCTCTGGAATATTCTGGATCTGCCGCATGACGTTGATCAGCTCGTCGATGCTGATCAGGTTCTCCCTGAAGGCGTAGAAAAGACTGCATACAGGAAACAGTTACCGGCTTGGAGAGAGTGTAAAAGGTGGTGGAGATGTCCAAAACTCAACTAGCTTAGTTCATTAAGGTCTCCCAGATCACACCGATCCGACTGATTTATTAGCTTTGCTGATTAAGCAAGCAGATTTGGTCAGTAATTAAGTCCATGCTGAAATAAAATAGAAAACATGGTCTTTATGTTTTCCTTTAAGTCTGATTTGCTGCTTTAATTATTATTTTTTATAAGTTTCAAACATAGGTTGCAACGTTACATAAGAAACGATATGCAGAAGTTTTCATGCTTTTACACAAAGCATGAAATTTTACTGCTTGAAATCAAGCAGTAAAAGAATTTCGTTTTGATTCAACTAATTTAGTCAGCAGATCAATGCCGTTAAGCCATTTCCAAAACACAGCAACCTGTGGCAGAGCTCTGGTGTAGTTCTGAAATTAGGAACGGTATCAGATCGATCGTCTGCGAGATATTTCAGCCCATGAAAAACCACGATGCAGTGCCAGAGTCAGCCAGGCAGCCATGGTTTAACACAGCTCAGCTTACCTTGCAGCATCGCTATACTTAGTAAAGAATAATCTGCAAAATTTGAAATGAATCAGGACTGGATTTGGCATTTGATTGTAAATGTTTTCATGAATTAACTGATTTTTATCTTTTGTCATCTCCATTACGGATTTACAAAACAAAAAAAAAAGATAAAGGTGCATTTGAAATCTGGGTTCTGAACCGCTGGTGTAAATTCTGGCGACAGACACCCAAAGGGTCGCTCCACTCAAACAGATTTAAAATCCCTTCAGAGTCAGAAGAGATAACTGAAAAATATTCATATTTATCTTCTGTTTTTCTTTTCATAACTTATTAAAAAAAGGCACCTCTGAATCCATGCTTCACCCTAAATGTCAAATATAAACATTTTTAACAAGCGGTTGTAGATAAACATGAGAAAGGGCTCAAAAATAACCTAATAATCTTTTTTTCTTTAAAGAAGATTTATTCCCTTGCCCTAACTCAGGCATTGCGACTGCTTTAGGTCGAAACTTAAAAGATAGATCCTGTAAAATGCTAAAATATTACCGGCTAAAATCACTGAACAGAAAAAAAACAAAAAACAACAAACAGCTTAAGGTGGGGGTCTGAACGTCATTAATTTTCTAGATTTCTCATGGAGAATCTAATGATGAATTTGGATCAATATAAAAGGCTGAAATTTAAAAGTTGCCTTTGTAAACAAAAGTATCGAAACTAATTTTTGAACCGAGGTACAACAGCAGAGTTTAAAATCAGAGTCAAAATGTTGGGAATGTTCAGCAGTGAAGAATGTTTAGCAGCCTCCACCCAATAGTTGGGGTGGAAGATGGATTATTTGGTCCAGAGGTATTTTCTGAGGTAGATTTTTAGGATGGTACTCAGATTTAGGTCTGGGTTATGTTCTGGAAACAACAGAGAGAAGAATGGACCCAGAAAGCCACCATGGTTCACCCCAGACGTCAAAATGCACCTTATGTGGAGGATGATGATCAACAGAAATATGATACTGACCGAATCAAACTAAAAAAAATGATCAATTCAAATTAAAACTAATGTTTTATAAATCAACGGAAGTCTCCACCATTTTTTAACACTGATTTGATAATTCGGATCAGCTTTCAGATCTGGAGCTCTTACCCAACAGGCGGAGTGGCTCCGCTGTCCACCTGCCCATCCAGGATGACTTTGTCCTTCTCCAGCTCCAGAATGATTTTATCAATGCGACCGATCATGCGGGTGACTCTCTTAGACAAACGCTGGCTGGCCTTCGATTCCTCTAAGGCTTTCTCTTGTCCGCTCTTAGAAAACTCCTTTTTTATCTCCTCCAGATCCTGGAGGGGAAACATGCACACAAATGCATAACGACTGAACAATATCCCCTAGAATACAATATAGCAACGAATATATATGCAACTTATCTAATATTGAAAAATTGAACAAAGTTTAAAATGTTTCCTAAAGGCACCTCATTGTACTCCTGGACATCATCCTTCAGCTCCTCCAGTTCCTCTTTCTCCAGGGTAAGCAGTTTCTTCTGCTCCTTCAGTTTAGAGCAGGCGTCACTCAGAAGGTCAATCTCTTCTTTGGTTATCTCCTCATCCTTCAACATGAAGAAAGGATCAGAGATGATATTCTGCCTGGAAGATCTATTTCATAAAATGATGGCAGCCTGCTAGGGACATTATTTACAGCAAAAGTCACTATTATAAAAAAAAATCTCTGAGTGAAGAGAATAGCTTATTTTAAAGGTTTATTTTGGTGTGCTCATTCAGAGGTATTTAAGGTAGTTTAATATGATTGGTTGTGGAGGGGTTCAGCTGCTCCTCTTCTGTTTGCCTAACACTGATCAAGTTCAGACACATTTATATAAAGGTATTTATATCCTCTTCAAACACGCATGTCACATGACAATCAGAAAACTTTAAATGTTGTATTTCATGTGACGGATCAACATAAAGTAATACTTGTGATTGATTTTATTCGTCTATAAAATTTTTGTTGATAAAATTATAATTTTTCTAAGAAATAAACACCTAAAATGATTGTTTACTCCTCCCCCCTCTATTCTGATTCACATTAAGGAAATTCGTGAATAGAATCCAGCTAAGTCTCTGTGTAAATACAGATGTTACATAAAAGCTGCAGATGTTGTTGAATGGAAATTAGTCAAAGGGTTATCATTGCTGGAAAACCACAATTAAAATACAACATTAAACCTTTGACATATCAGTTGATAAAACGGTAACTATGTTAAACACGTCAGTGGAATATAATAGGCTGTAAGCAACATGTTGACCTCTTTTAACATCAAGATAGGTTCGGTTAAAATCAACGTCAGTAAGATAAGATATCAGGTTAGAAATTCTTTTGTGAAACCATATTGGCTTATTATAAAGGGTGAGGATGGGTTCCAAACCCTGAACAGTTGAGAACCACTGATTTAAAGTGACGTGCAGCTGTAATGCAGTGGTTTTATCTAACATGACAAAATATAAGGACAAAAAAACAAGATAACCAATAACACCGACAGGGAGAAAGTCTGTTAGGACTCAGGGTTACCGTTCACAACCAGTCAATACGTTTTCACAAGAGGGAAGGAAATCTACTGACAAAAGCTGGAAAATGAAAACATTCATCCAGTTACCGAACAGACGGACTGAAAGAGGGAAAGGAAAGGAAGGGGCGGCGCTACTAGATATAGGTCAAACAGAACAGCAAATAAAATTTAGCATTTCATAGAATTAAAAATTTACCAATAAAGCCAACTTTGACTTTATCCTACAAACAGGAAATTACATAAAGTCTAAAATTCAGACTTATCCATTTATTATCACCTGTTCTCCACCCTAAATTACTGGAACGAAATGCTAAAATGATTTGCATATTTTGATCAACCCAAAATGGAACAGGGTTCAGGAAAATAAAAATACTATGTCTGTCAGAGGAGCAATATTAGACCTAACCTGGAAACGCAGAATCATCTGCCACTGTTCACACTGTTAAACAAATCCAAACAGAAAGATCACAACAGATAAGTGTGAGAACAAAACAACCTTAACCATCCAATCCGGGGGCCGACAATAAAAACAGCTTTAAGTCTAGACTGATAAAGTTCTACTTCTCTGATACTACGAAAAAATGTCTTTATCAGATTCACATGAAAGTAAAGATGTGAGACTACAAACACTAAGCAACTACACTTTCCCAAAACTTAATCTACAAATTCGAATAAATATTTAATGATATTACCTTGTTCACCTCAATAACAGGAGCTGTATCCCTCAGCGTCTCCAGATGAGCTGATCTGTTAGCCTGAAATGATGCTGGCTCTGCGTCGCTGCGCTTCACCCCATTGGCTTCAAGCTCCACCTCATCCTCCTGCAGGATTTAATATGATTAAACCATCAAACATGAAAAACAGACCAGCAGAATAACATCTTGGAGAGGACACTGAGGTCATCATTGGGCTGCATTAATTGCATTAATGTCAATAACCCATAATAATATTGCCTGGATCTAATAGGCTGATTATTTAACAGCAAAAAAAACAACAAAAAAAATGGATCTAATATCACCGCAACTGTGTAGAAAAGTGAAACTCTTTTTGGACACTTTTTTTTGGATAGTGAGAGAGTCTGAATGAGTAAAGATGAGGCCTCAGAACCTGTACCAACTGACGGGCATAGTGGTAGCAGCATCATGCTATGGGGTTGTGATGGTACCTAATGGGCTGCTGCATATAAACCCAGAGATGGTCGAAACACAAATGGCTTTTTTAATAGAGACAAAGACCCGGAACGTGCAGCAACAATAGGTCCATAAGGGACAAATCAGGCTTCAGTTCTGGAAAACCCTGATTTTAGTTATACTGGGATAAAGGGATAAAACTCGAGTTTCACTGGGAAAATAGCCTAAACTTAGAGCTAAAGCATTCCGATGTCCCTATGAAGTTGAATTACATGTCCTTGCTTATAGTGCTAGTGATGCTTTGAAGACCAATCCTCAGAGTTGTCGGTGTACAGCGAGGCATTACAGCACAGAGGGGACTTACTGGCCGTTTCTCAACATCTGTACTTGTGTTCTCATGTGCTCGTGTACTCGAAAAAGGCCATGAGCCTCAGCCCTAGTGCTCTTCCAATTCACAAGAACAAGAAGACCAAGAACAGACAAAGTCCCCGGATGTTTTCGTTTTCCCTCCCTCTTTACAGAGTATGCATCAGTAGACTTGTCCATTCTTGAGATTGAAAGCTGTCCCAGCATGCACCGCGGCAGCAGCAGCTTCCAGGGGAGCGCTCACACAGCTCAGAGTATTAAGTTAAATGTTCTCTTCTGTTTTGCCATTGTTCTAGTGCGTTTTAAGATAATTTAAGGCGAGAATATTACACTTTTAAGCGTCACTATAAGGCCCATTTACTTATATAGTGCATAGTTTTTTTTAAGTTCAGATGTTGAGAGGACCGCCTCAACCAGCGGAGCTCTGAGGCTAACCGCAGCCCGTCTGCAGCAGCCCTCTCCTGGCATAGCTGTGTGTGAAGGACCGCTGGCTCTGATGCCAATTTTTGTGTTTTATTTTGTAAAATGTATATTTGATTTGTTTTTATCCGACTGTGTTAATTATTATTCCCCCACCNAAAATGTATATTTGATTTGTTTTTATCCGACTGTGTTAATTATTATTCCCCCACCCAAACAAAAAAGGTGAGAATTTCTTATTATCTAGAGACTATTATTAAAAGGAGGTGAAATGCAGCTCCAGACAAGCCAAGCGTGTGGTGACATCACAAGTATGCTTCTGTTCCAATTGGTCCATATTTATGCTGGATGCTCCTATTCTCACCAAGTCCATACTTTCCTGTGTTCTTCTCAAGAACATACTTGGCGAGGACACAAGTCTGTCCTCGGCCATTTAGTACAGGAGCTGCATCAGTGGCCACCTTCAGGCTGTCTGGTAGTTCTGCTTTACTGCCAGGAGATGGCGGCACATCTGTTTATCTCTGCTCATCACACCCAGTGCTGGGGTTCTATTTAGGCTCAAAAAAGACCTAAAGACTAACATGGCAGACACTTGGAGTACATAACCTCATTTTAACATAATCAATTGGATATTGGTGTTTTTGTTATAGGCGTAAAATAAGTCTCCTAAATAACTCAACCAGCTCTGCTAAAAAGACAAGTCAAATACACCATCTAGATTGAGCTGGAAAATGGGGGAAAATATATTTAAGATTTTCCAGTTTTTGTTTAATAATCATTTTACACTAAAACTTGACAGAAAGACACGAATAAGTCATATAAAGCCAGAAAGGAGCAAGTTATGGTTATGCTGAAAACAAACAGCACTGTAAAATTGAAAAGAAAACAACATTTATTAAATCTTATTTGAGCTTTCAAACCTTTTATAAAGGTGTTATAAATAACAAAAACACCTCACCCAAAATATTCGCCCATCCAATTCTTTCATCTGAAATGATTGAACCTTTTCTCAAATCAACATTATTATGTTAACGTTGAATAATAAAGAAAAAGTCACCCTAAAAAACATATTTAAAAAGGTGTTATGATGGGCTTTACCTTGGCTGCCTTCTCTGCAGCATCAGCCAGCCTCTCCATCTCCCGATCCTTGGTGTCTTGGAGTATCGCTGCCTCCTCCTGAAGCATCGTCTCCAGTTTGGTTTTGTTGTCCACTTTGGAGAGCTCCATTTCAGCCACCTTTAACTGAGCCTCTTTGGTCTAAAATTTAAATGTAGCCATTACCAAAAGTATGTAAATTCCTGATATACAGCTAACAAAGTCCTCTACAAACTGGATCCATCTCCTTTTTTACTAGGGTAGTCAACATACCACCATTTCAGGGAGAGTTTGCAGAGTAGTTTTGAGCTGATCAGCTGGAGAGAGAGTGTCTGGCAGGTACATGGCTCGAGACAGAAGCAGCAGAGATGTGGGAATCTGTTGGTTCAGATGTAGCTCCAACCACTGCAAACAAGCATCAGAAGATGACCTACACTGATTTCTTTGGAAGAAACCCTTTAAATGATCTAGATCAACCTGTTCTTTCAGTATTTAAAACTTCTTTGAGTAGAAACAGTAAAGCTGCTGATCTGAACAATTATTTTTATTTGTTTCTGTTACCTGGCTGAGCTGCTCCCTCAGTCGTTCCTCTGTGACTCCAAGAGATCTCATGCCTCTGACCCGACAGGCTGCCTGCACCTCATTCACACTCAGACTCTCTACTCCCTCTTCTGCTATCAGCTGGAGGGTTTGGAGAGATGGGTGTTAAAAGCATCGCCCCAAATCATTATGCAACAACAGATAATGCTGATATAGCTGAATGAAGCCCATACCTTGTCATCTGCACGGATGTTTCGGAGCTTCATGATGAGCTGAAAGCGGAGGAAGTTGTTGGTTCCGATGGACTGAAGCTCCAGGAGGCGACAGAGAGCCACCAGCTGAGGTCGGGTGAGGTTGTCGAGAGTGAGCTCATCCTCGAACAGTTTGGAGAATTTAATGATCTGTTCATTACTGGGACGTTCTCCAGAGTCTCGGATCTACAAGAAGAATGGAAGGAAACCATTTTGAATGGTGCAGGTAATGAGTACAGTCAGGTACCAGTAGGTCTGCTGGGTGTATGAATCTACCAACATTTAGTTCAAAATTTAAAGTTCAGGACTGAACTTTAAACATAAAGCCAGAGCTTCGATACGATATGTTTATAGTCTACTCAAAGGAAAAACTCCACTGCTAGTTCAAGCTTTTGATTGCCCTTCACAGGTTCTCTCCAAGGATTGCTCTGTTTTTAACTCCATTTATCATCCTATCAACGCCTCCCCAAACACCCCAACCAGAAAGCCTTTAGTAGCTTTTGGCTGACTTTTGTTCTGCATAAAGCAGTAGATTCTCTTTATCCTTCATTTAACACCAAAGCTGTGATAAAAGGCATTAAAAATGTAAGTACATGGCAAGTACTAAATTACTCAACATTACTGAAGTACAAGCAGCTCTTAGCATTGTTAATTTTCCATATGTTGATTTTGTAATTATAACATACTTAGGAGTGAAGTTATTCTGCTGGCTTTCCTTTTCTTTCATGATGGATAACACGGCTTTTCTGTCAACAACGTCCTCTCAACTTTGCATAATTTGTGTGAGGGATTGCTGCAGATTTCATGACACTGTGCAAACAATTGCCTATTACAGCTACTTGCTCCTCCTTTCAGACAGGAGGCGGTGCACACAACACCAGGCTCGGAAACCTATTATTTTCTATAGCTTGTGCCACACAGGAGTAGTTTGTCGTAGCACCAAGAAACAAGCAGGGATAGATGCACATATGGCCAACAGAAAGCGGGTCATCCAGTCATAAGCCAGAAAGATGAGGAAGCAAAATGAAGGAAAAGTTAGTGTTTGTCTAAGAATATGACCCAAGTTTGCGATTATGGTTGCTGTGGAAACGGGGCTCTTTTGCAATCTAGAAATTCTCAATCTGCCCTTTCCACCATGTTGGCTTGGGTTTCTTCCTCCCAGTCTTTTCTTCCTTGCTGCTTTAACTAACCATGCTAGTTAAAGCAGCAAATAAAAACACGCAGAGCCAATGTTTTCAGTAAAAACCTCATTCTGTATGAAAGGTCCACTAAACAGAACACTTTTAACCAATCTGTCTGTATCAGTTCTATTTAATTAACTCTGTATAACACTGTATAAAAGCCGTTCTATCTGCATTCCCAATCTTCAGGAGGAAACTGTATACTGGGTGGCTACTGAAGGCAAGATGCTAGCCTGGTATTTGATATAAACTCACCATATTGACCAATATATCTTACATTTACACACCACAGTGGTTTGTCACATAAAAAAACAACTAAAATATAAGTCTATGCTTAAAATCCCAAAGTGTAAACAAAAGTATATCAGTGTCTATGTTTCTAGAATCCTCTGTTTGTATTCAAACAGAGAATTTGTATTTGCGTCTGTGTACATGCACGAAAAGCTGCATGCTGCCTGATTCACAGTCTATGCTTCGTCTCAACCAGAAGCCATCTGGATCTGGACTCTGACCTTTTGGAAGAAGGTGGAGAACTCCTCGGTCACGTTGCCCTGAGCAGCCTTGTTCCTCAGTGCGATCTCTTCGATGGTGTCCTGTAAGAACTTGGCCATCTCCAGCTTCACTCTGAGCTCCTTCTTCAATCTTTCCTCCTAAAAGCACATCAAAAATGTTATGTTTTCCCTTTCCAGCAACGAAGACGACACTAAATAACTTGATTTTTTAATAAAGTGTTTAAAAAAAGCAACTGGCAGAATATCTGAACCTACATTGATATGATTCCATTAATAAGATCTTCTAAGTTAACCAATCAAATGTATTAAAGACCTGAGAAAAAAAATTATCAGCTTTTGTTACCTTCTTTGACTGCGTTTCAAAGGTAGAAGGCAGCATGTTGGGGAACAGCTTCAAAGCCACAGGAAGGAGGAACTCCATGAATGGGACGATGATGAAGACCAGGAAAGGCAGCAGTCTGAAGACATCTGCACATGTTCTGAGAAACTGCAAAACATTTTCAGAAAAGGGTAATGAGCACAAAGTCTGATGATGATATATTTTAACAAGCTTTCACTGGATGCAGCTTTCTAGCTCAACAATGCTGCATTTTATAAAGAAATCCAGCAGGGGGCAGGATCTGTCCCTTAAAGTCAAACAGAAACAGGAGGACATTTTTGGCATGAAGAAAAAAGCTCCTTTACAGTTTTAAGAGTCAGCTATTTTAACTCTCCGCTTTCCATGCATAATTACAGCTGCTTTTTTATTTTTATGTTTTCATAGGGCTGTAAAAAGGCAACAGTGGACATCCGTGCCTAAAAAGTTCTTTCTACAACAGGAAGTGTGCAAATTAAGCCTGGAGCGGAACAATCCTCTGGGTAAAGACGACCTGAGCCAGACCTGCTCCGATTCATTGTACAGCTGTCCAACTGTGGCTTCCTGACTGCCTTGAGACACAGTAAACGTCCAGAGGCGAGAAAACCACGACAAGAGTCTTTTTTTTCTCTGTCCTTCCACCTGCATTTCAGTGGGGCAGTGGGATGAAGGATTTAGGCCATCTCAAGTGAAAAGCCCTTTGTCTGCAGGCCCATTGACATGTATATCATCCGCTGGAGGTTTGGGTATCAAAGCAGAGGCAGGGGTGACATTCTAGAATGGAAAGAGCCCTGAAGAGAGGGCCGAAAGGAGGAGATTAAGGAGGCAATGCCATTCCAGGTTAGATGAATGGGGTGTAGATGGGTTTTGGAACATGCGCACTGAAGGAGGTTCTCGCATTTGAAAAGAGGCAGAGGGGGTGGTGCTGCTAAGAGAGAGGGGAACCCGTGGTCACAGAAAGCTTCAACTCTGACATGAGGCCTCATTTCCTTTATTTCACCAAAGAGATCAGGGTAGCTGCTGATTACCTGAAGCAGTTTTTTAAAATTTTTCCAGGCTCTGAAACTTTACTCTAATATCTGTTGGAATTATTTGTACTATTAGAGTCTTATTAAAGTGCAAACTGGTGATGACCCAGTTAAAAAACTGAGTATTTAACGCACAATAGGAAGTAAGACTCAGTAAGACCATTTTCACATCTCTAAGTGTTTTTCATTGCCAGTAATTCATCTTCAACCGCAGGGTGTGTGAGAAGATTTATAAAGCTTGCTGACAACCACAATATATCTGTTCCTAAAATAGATAATAAATGATTTCCTACTGCAAAAACATTTTTTAGATTTTAAATATATTCTTACATCATAGCTCTTAATCAGTAGGTAAAAGCTTTAATCTGAATTAGGCCACAAGATTTAAATTAGCATGAATTTCATTATAAACTACAATAAAATATATAAGCGATGGTGGTATTATAGTTTAGTACTGAAAAGTCCCAATTGTGCCACTTCTCCTTTTCTCAACAGTCATTAAATTTCAGCATAAACTGTAGCCTCTTTCACAAAATGATTCTCCTCTGAGCACCTTTAAGATTTTACCTACAGAAAAAAATCTTTATGAAACATATAACAAATGTCCACAAACACATTAGAGGCATAGAGAGGCAGAAGGTTATAGAAGAGAAATAATTAGCCAAAACTTTACTGCAATGTAGACTGTTGTTCGCAATATGCACCAGGTTCAAAGTTACTGAGGGTTAATATGAAGTGAATTTTGTTACATAGTTGTTGCAGACGAAGAACAAGTTCTGTTGATAAAAATTTAAAAAAAATACAAGCTAGAAATGTAAAGTTTGAGAGAAGCCGTTTCGTTTTCTCAGACGGAATAGATGGATTATTTCTTTTCTGGTTATTTTGACAAATTTATATTTCAGATGGAGTTTTAAACATTGCAGTCTTTAGAAATTATGTTTTACACATAACATTACCTACACTTCTGGGGGCGGGCTTTCCTCTAGAATGAGGAGGAGAGAAGATGCATTTCTATTGGTCTGCTGGACGTTAGCTACAACAAGAGGAGTATTTGCACTGGGCTTGAAGTAAGGTGAATGCTCTATCCAGAACTCACAAGTGGAAACGTTTTAGTTTCACCTGGTTTGATTCTGTAAAAATTCTTCTCAAAGAAACTTTTTGCAATCCGATTAATTATCAATTAATTGCAAAAATAGTTGCAGCCCTGAGATATATATATATATATATATATATATATATATATATATATACATACACTATATTGCCAAAAGTATTTGCTCACC